ATACCCCTCGAAACGGTAACAGCACCACGGAGCTAAGAAGGTTCAGGGGACTTGGGGCAGCGGGCAGGAGGCACACACCCAGTCACCTGCTGTGGGGACAGTATCTGTGCGCCCCAGGTCTAGTCTGGACGAGGTGGAGGCTTCCAGCTGCCTTCACATCCCTTTGGAGGCTCACGGAGCACAGAGGGGCACAGGGTGGGAGGGGTCCTCCAGCTGAGTGGGCCGCCCCACCTCTCACCTGCAGCCAGGGCCTCTGTGAAGACGCTTGCTGACATGCTGCAGGGGGACACGCACTGACCTTTTACCCTGTGCACCAACACAGCAGTGCACCCTCAGCCTCAGGCTCTGCCCCGCAGCCCCCAGGGCACAGAATACCGGCCCGACCGGCCCCCGACACAGGTGACATCATCAGCAGCAGACGCTCAACACCTGCAACAGACCAGGGTCTGGGACTATGCAGCAGGGAAGGCTCAGCTTCGGAGATGCAGCTGCCCAGACGCTGCAGAGGGCCCAGGTGTGCAGATGCCAGGCCTACAGGAAAGGGCACAGGCGCTGACGCCAAGGGAGGTCTATCTGACCTTCCAGCCCAGCTGAGGGAAATGGGAGTGGGGAGTTGGAAGCCTGGAGGTGCGTCCCAAGGCCCTGTGGTGGTGGGGTACAGGCCCATCCCTGCTTCCTCCAGGACCAGGCTGGTGGGCATGGGCTGGGCACCACCCAGCTGCTCTCCTGGGCTTCCTCACCCCTCTTCCTCACCGTGCAGATCATCATGAACCTCATCTCCCAGGGATTCTTGGGGCCCCCTCAGTGCAGGACCAGGGCCCTGGCCTTGCAGCCCCCAGAACTCCTTCCGCCGGCCCAGATGTGAAATCCCACTCACACCAGAGCAGCTAGCGGGGCAGGGACAGCTCCTGTCAAACTGAGGCAGGTGTTCTAGAGGTGAAGGAACCCTGCGAAGCGTGCACTTCCGGCAGACACTTTGGCTGGCAGCCAGACCCAGTGCCCCGGCAGACCCGGGCCCAGATCCAGCGCCCGTCACACCCCTGGGAAGGACTGCACACTCCTGGGAGGAGAAGACGGTGGCCCATGTGTAGCAGCGCTGCTGTGGGAGGTGTGGCCATGAGGACGGGGCGCCAGGCCAGTGGGGGTGGTGGACAAGGACACAGGCGGGCACCGCAGCTCTGCCCTAAGTGAGAGTGCACCTGCCAGGGGTGCTGTCCCCAAAGAATGGCCCAGTGCCAGCGCAGGGAGGTGACCTCCGTTCCTCCCGAGGTCACTCTGGGGCCAGGACCTCTACCCGCGGGGCCCCTGCCTGTGCCTTAGCCTGGGCAGGGACTCAGCTCCCCGCACTGGGCTTTGGCGGGGGCTGGGAAAATGGGTGGGGGCAACAGTGGGGGCCAAGGGAGACACGGGACCACAGCCAGCCCGAAGCTCCGCAGCGCCCCTCCCTGGGTGTGCAGCTCCCACTCTGCGGGGCAGGGCAGACCCGCCCTGGACGGTCGCCAGGGCCTGCCAGGACCCAGCCTGGCCTGCATGCAGAGTCCCGAAGCCCAGACTTCAGCATTCCTGTCTGTCCCACAAACAACTGCGGGCCTGGGGTTAAGGGGACTCCCCAACTCCCTGATGAGGTCTCCCCCGCCCCAGAATACACCCCGAAACTAGAAAAAAATCAGAACAGACAAGCACCAGCTGACAGCAAGAGCTGAGGGAGCCAGTGTTCACTGCCGTGGAGGCGTGGCGACAGCCGAGAATGGGCACAAGGCCAGAGGGGATGGGGGACAAGGGCTTCTGCTGCGGCCACAGGTGGGCACCGCGTCTCTGCGGGCCCAGCTCCAACGGGCCTGCACACTCCTAAAGTAAGGATGCTCTGTGACTTAATGCGTGAAAATGCTTTGCCACCAGTTATAAAACAAATCTGTGTGTGAACATCCACGTGTCCGCATGTGTCCACAAATACACGCCCACCCTTGTTAAGAGTGCAAATTTCCGTGTGGAGGGCCACAAACAGAGAGAGGTTAGGAGTCTCTCCTGCCCTAATCCCCGTCCTGTCGTTTTTGTTCTCTGCGCCCTCATCCCGGACGGCCTTGGAAAGCTGGAGAAGGCTGTTCGCTCCCCACAGGGAGTCCTTGTGAGAGTGGGCACGGGCCCACACCGAGCCAGACCGTGGCCAGGAGACAGGCCACAGTCCCCACTCCCTGCATCTGTGACACGGGACCACGTGCCTGGCCGCCAGGGCTGCTGCTGAGTGACAGGGGCAAAGACGCCGGGAAGTTCACTCAGATTTCTCCTGGGCACCCAGAGATCACCTCGGGGTCTGGGCCTGGCGCCCAGGGAGGGACCAGGCACCGAGCAGTCCTGGCCATCTCCTCCCTCCAGAGAAGCTTCCGCTACAGCAGGCTGGCCCTGCCACCCCAGGGCTCGGGACCCACAGTCCTCTGCAACCCCAGCTCTGGTCCCCTGCGATGCGGCAGCGCACCAGGTAGCAGGCGAGGCTGCACAAGGAGCTGCCCCCCATAGGCCTCAAACTCTGCTGTCTGGTGGGCAGTGGGCACAGGTCAGAGGCTGTGCCAGGTGCGCGCACCTAGGGACCTGTCCGGAGACCTGAGGGACTCCTGGCTCTAGACTGGCCACAGCCACCCACACTCAGGCCTGCGAGGGAGGCAGTGGTGCACACCAAGGGGACACAGCCTGAGGACAGCACCACACCAGCCTGGGGCAGAGGCTCTGCTTTCAGGAAGTAAACTCTCATGCTGGCAGGCGGGGTCAGGGAGGGCAGGAACTCAGAAAAGGGAAAACCCACCGGAGCCAGACGGGAAGGGCTCACACCACTGGGTCTATGGGAAGCACCCCAAAACCCCAAGTGATGAAAAACCACTTCAGGGCTCCAAAATAACAGTGTAGCACGCGGCTGCCAAGAACTTTAGCCGAGAGCCCCGGAGCCCAGTGCCCACCCCCATGCCTGCCCACACCATCCACCCTGCTTCAGCCCGGGAAGATCTCAGGCTCTGCAGACCTGCTGGCCTCCATCCCTCTGCTCAGCTCTTCTGTGTTGTTCTCTGCTCAGAGATGCTTAAGCTCCCACTCGATCTGCGGTAAATGACAGATGGCTGCCAGAGGCCAGGGTGGCCCGGCTGGCACGCGTCCAAGCCACACAGCAGCCCCTCCCAGGCAGGGTGTGCAGGGTGAGTAGGTGCTGCCAGCTTATCTCCCTCGGAATTCGGGTAGGTGAGTTCTGCTGCCCTGGAGCGCTCAGTCTTAACAGAGCCTAGACACTACAGAAGTGCCAGGCTCAGCCATGCTTCTGCCGAGACTCAGGCACCTACAGCCTGGCCACAAGAGGCAGACACAGGAAAATGCCATCACAGGTGCACCTGTGCCTCTGACAGGACCCCCCCCCCCACCATGGTACCAGGGGTGTCCTGGGAGGACATGGCATCCTGCCTACCTGCTCTGGTTCCAAATGTCCCCCAGGTGTCACTACCCACACCAGAAACAGGGCCTCAGCCTCCGAGGCACTCATCCCCAAACCTGTGACCTGAGCACACCCGTGACCAGAGCATGTCTATGGTTCCCGCCCCAGAGAAGCTCGCAGGAGCTCAAGCCTGGAAGGGGGGAAGGGGCTGGAGTGGGTAGGTGTGCAGGCTGGGGTAGGGCTTGGGCACACCTGGTAGACTAGAGAGGGGTCAAGGCTGGGCTCCTGGAAGGCCAGCAGAGTGGAGGATGAGGGCCGCCAGGCTTGGCCCTGTCCCAGGGGGAGTACTTGGGGGAGTGAAGGAAGGGAAGGGGCAAATTAGTGGTACAGAGGTGACTGTGCCACAGTAACCCCTCCTCCCAGGCACAGCAGGCAGCTGGGACCCTGAGTCAGCAGGGAGGGAATCAGCCGGCAGGGAGGAAGGGAAGGAGGGAGGCTCAGGGCTGAGCCCAGGGGCAGTGCTGCCGGCAGGGCTGGGGTAGACACCCTCAGGTGGGGATGCCACTGGAGGGCCTCTTTGGGGCCGGCACCCCCAGCATTTAGCTTCCTGCCTGCCCACGGGTCACAAGCCCACCCAAGGCGTCCAGGGAAAGGACGGCCCCAGCCCTACTCCAACAACTTTTTGCTTCAGTGTGGTCAGATGAGTGGCTACACCCACGTCCCCCAGGAGCCTTTTCTAGATGCAAGCACCCCAGGATGTCCCCACTGTGCAGCTCCCACAGCTCCCGGGCACCACCTGGGGTCCCTGAACCCCGAACGCCAAGGGGGGTGTAGAGTGGGGTGCCAACGTGGACACTCAGCACCGCAGAGACATGTGAGCGCCTGAAGTCACAGGGACAAAGGGGCAAGTGTCCCTCCCTCCCTGACGGGGTCTCTGCACTGCCCTGGAGGCCCACAGATGGCCTCAGGGAAGCCACAACCCCCTCCCACGCGGGATCAAGGTTGCACAAAGTTGATTCCGGCCGCAGAGCCCCAGGGGACAGTCCCAGCCTGCGGTGCACACTTGGGGGAAGCACTGTGCCAGTGCAGAGCTGGAAACCCTGCGAAGACCCCAGGCCCACGCCCGCCGGCTTGGAAGGCAGAGTTGGCCTTGGGCCCCGGAGTGAGACAGCGCTGCCCATGCCGGGGTCAGAATCCGGGAATGGGTGTGGGCTACACAGTTAGGAATGGGGTGCGGGCCTGGGATGCGGATGCCGGCTATAGACCTGGGAAGGGGGTGCGGACCATACACCCGGAAATGGGGTGCGTGCCCAGGAAGGGGGTGTGGGCCACGGACCTGGGTGAGAGGTGCGGGCCATAGACCGGGGAATGCGGTGCAGACCACAGACCTGGGAAGAGAGTGTGGGCCACAGACCTGGGCAGAGTGCGGGCCACAGAGCGGGAATGGGGTGCGCGCCCGGGAAGGGGGTGTGGGCCACAGACCTGGGAAGGGCTGCGGGCGTGAGCGCCCTCGGCTGCAGGGAGCCTGGGGCTGAGGCCGTGCTCGCGTGGGGCCCCAGGACGCTCCCGCCCGCCATCCCCGCGCACCCACCTGGAGCTTCTGCAGGGCGCCGAGGCGCAGCTCGTGCACGAACGGGTTCCGCCCGGGGGGCGCCAGCCGCCGCGTGCCGCCC